CCTTAGTATCATTACCTCCAGTTCTTATCGTTACTCTGACAAATTAATGTCAACCTGTACAAATGACTCTTGAGGCGGAAGAGTAGCAAGTATCACCACGGTGGAAGTACTTACTCGCTACAGTAAAACTTGCTCTTCGAGTTTCCTAAACGCACGGCTTTCCATAAATCGAATAATTTACATACTGCAGAGAGTATTAGCTACATATTTGATTAATACTTTCTTATAATAAACATCTTATAAGAAATTTTTTAAAATATAAATGTTTTTGACAAATCAGTGCGGTAGAAAGAGAAAGTAAGAAAATATTTTAAAAGATAAGAGACAAGAAATTAGAGAAGATCGATGATTTAAGGTATCTAGGAAGTCAGATAATTCAGCGTGGAAGAAGCAGCACAGATATGAAACAATGGACACCACAGGGCGAGTCGCCTATAATAAAAGAAGTCGCTTCTATGATCGTGAACGGTTAATTTATAAATCTTAAAAGATTGTTAAAGGTGTATGTCTAAACATGGATCTGTAAGGATGCGAGACATGAACGGTGGGAACGGCGGAAAAGAAAAGGTTGAAAGCGTTTGAAATGTGGTGTTACAGGGGAATGGTGAGGATAACGTGGGTAGAAAAGGTTAGAAATGAGAAGGTACTAGACAGAGTAGGACAATCAGAAGGCGCTATGGAAGTCATTAAGATAATAGGCGAAATAGGTTAGGTTTGGTTTTGTTATGAATGATAAGATACCATGGATAGAAAAGGTTAGAAATGAGGAGGTACTAAACAGGGCGAAATAGGTTGGTAGGACACATTCTCAGGCCTGAAGGGCTTGTTAGAGACATATAGATATGGAATGCTTTGGTTTTAGATCGAGCGGCATGGCCTAGAGGTCGAGACCATTGCTTAGCATTCGGGAGGACGCCGGTTCGATTCCGGGTCCGTCTGCCTTGGTCCAAGTTTTTCTGTGGATCACTTAGGCAAATGCTGAGGCAGTAATATTCCACAGATAATCTTTCACTCTCTTCTGTCTTCATTTCGTCCGTCTCATCTTTCTCACCCGAACCACCACCCACCCATTCCCACGATTCCTGAAAGCAGGCTGAAGAGGGCCTTCCGCCCTACCTTCCGGCATAGTCCGGAGGGACTGCCCGCCCACCAGCATTACTGGCTGGTGGGAATGAAATACCAAAAGTTTTTTTGGTTTTAGAAAAATGCAAGGATTTGCTGAGATTGGGGAAGACTGGAGGTGTGTGTCCAGCCAGTCTTAGCGCTGACGACCCTATGGTGATGAAGAAATGTTTATGAAACGTGATGAAGGTAGATTTGGGAAACTTTTATGACTCCATGGTTTAATTACGTTACTTTTTTATTCTGCAACATCCTCCCAGTTGATTGCTAATTCTTATGGAATAAATACCTTCCGTGATGCAATGTCAAAGACCTCCTGCTTGGTTATAGAATACTAATTAAAGATTCGAAATCATTGCCAAAAATAAACACACGCAGTTTACACACAGACACCAAAGCACGTTAGATTAGGTATACCTATACATATACACAACACTACGTACCCAGCATCGCATATATTTCCGATTAGTAAGTGTGCTCATTTTGATTTCTTACGGCCAATTAACGCTTACGTCACCAATCTAATCGTTTTCGATGTTATGCGTGCATAGCGTATTATTAGAACATGTGTTTTAAATGGTTGAAGGAATAAATACATATTTTGCCGCACAAAAGCGTATCCGAATTAGTTAAAATTGAGCGTCCGCATTCTTTGTCCGCACAGGGCATCGTCAATAAGCAAATAAGCATGCTCTGTTGCAGACCGAACTGTTGTTTTTATTGCTAAAACGTTGATGGCTTATTTAGAACAACTAAATGTAACAAAGGAATCGTGAATTGAACGCCCACAATGAAGTTAAAATAACAGTTATTTTCCGGAGAATATTAAACCATAAATATAAACATCAAGAAGAGACAGAATAACTGAATGAAATGTTCGATTTACGAAATTTAGATTCGAGAATCTAATTATTATTTTGAATAATTCGTGAATGCCGAAGGGCAAAGGATGTTTGTCAATAATAGAAATATAACGGGCGGGTAAATGTCTAGATGATGGCCCCCACCCCCGAAGGGGGTGAGGGTGGGTGGGATCGAAAGAGGAGGTCTCCCCCACTACTGTACCATAAAACGTTCATGGCGATCTCATCCACATAAAAAGTTATGGTGGTTAGAAGAGGGTGGGGGTAAGGGGGATCGAAAGAGGGTGATCACCGGAGTAAAATCCCATAAAAAATTTGCGGCTGTCCCCCCCCCATAAAAAGTTATGGGGGTTGAAAGTTGATTATTTTGACAATTTTCATACACTATAATTCAAGTAAAATTCAATAAAAAAAATATTTTCAAGCGGGTGGAGGTGGGGGATCGAAAGAGGGTGGTCACTTGAACAAAACCCGATAACCTAACCTAACCTAACCTACCCTATTGATAAAGATATTTAAATAATGTTTTATATAACTTTCTCAATATTTTTATGTATTTTTCTATTAGTTTTACCTTTGAATATTGTTTAAGAATGACTATATAAATATTTACATGCCTAGAAATGAATAAAAATTGGCATATTTATTAACATTGAACCCCTATAACTTTTTATGAGACCGCCACGAACTTTTTATGGTACAGTAATGGTAGAGACCTCCTTTTTTGATCCCCCCCCCCACTCCCACACCTTTCGGGGCTGGGGCCATCATCTAGACCTTTACCTAACGGGCGTAGTATGGATTTTATATAGGCCTTCATTTTATGAATTAATATTAAGTGTAGCATTAACATCAAATACCGTTAAAAAGACCTCTTTATCATGCCACTACCAAAAGTACGAAAATTTTTTCTGCTTTCGATATGGAAACCCCACAACGTAATGACCTAGGTAAGATAAAACATTTTTTCATTATTAGGAAATGACTGTAATAATAAATACGATTTCCTACGTTGTTAGTTATGATGCGTTTTCTCGTATTTGAAATCAGGAAAAATTTTACTTTCGGAGCATACATATGGTACAAAAAATCGTATACGGCCTTGGGAAGAAAGAGTAGCACTCCTCCCGGGAATTTGCCGCCCTCGCCTTTGACTCGGATGGCAATTCACATCCGGGAGGGGATACCTACTTTCTTCCCTTGGTGTATGATGTACGCAGATACTATGTAATTGTAACACCAATTACTGACGTTCGCCTTGGATGTATAAGTCTTTTTAAAGACTGTAATTTACTTTATTTAGTTTTACTTTAATAACATTTCCTGTTAATGCGTAATTAATATGTTAAAGGTGTATTTTCGGAAATTACCTTAAACAATTCCAATTGATCGAATACATGAAAATGGACTTCTCGCAGCTAAATCCACTTCACCAAATAAAGAACAAAATTTGGAAACACCTTTAATCTATTCATTTGAGGTGGTGTCACATATTTCGCATTACAATTAGTCCAAATATTTAGTTGGTTGCTCCAGAAAACGGCACTGCTCTGTAAAGCGCTTACTCATTACGATTACTAGCAGGGAGTTCCTAAAGTGAAACACAAAAAAATTTCCTCAGATAAGGTTCCTAAAGTGCTGAATTTTGTAGAATGACTACAACATTCACGTAACAAACAAAATTACAGATTGAATGTTTAATGTAAAAATCGATATATTTTTGAAATAAACATGGAAATAAAAGGTCTCCAGTTTTTATGAACGATTAATTACAAATAATGGAAACTAATCTGGCAAGTCGTAATAAGCAGGTTGCTAGAATACGTAAACAGTGATAATTGTACCTTTGCTGTGAGTTTTTTGTGTAACGTTAGGACAAAAAGGAAGAAAAGCAAACGTGTAATTAAATTCTGGTTACTTTAAGGTATTTTGACGAAACAACAGTGGGAAGTAAATGGAAATATAGCGAAAAAGAGGCTCTTAAGGCATTCTAGAAATTTAATTATAGTTACTTATTTTAACTTAGTTTCAAGCTACACTGCTGTACTTATGTACATTTACTCTTGTAAGTAAAAGAATATTAAATACCTATAGATAATAAAAAAAAATGTAAGTACAGTGAAGGTAAAAACGTTGGAATAAATTAATCAAAAATTGGATCATAGATTTTTTGAAAAAAGAAAGGAACTCTCGGACCGTTCAGTTTAGTTTATTCTCATTATTTCTTAATTTGCAAAGAATTATGATAAATATAGAAAATACCACAAATGGCGCAGTAAACGCCATCTGTAGTACGATGCTACATTTTAAGATTACGTGTGCTCCAACAAGGTCTACTTAAAAATATGGATATCTACTTGCTGAAACGAATCCCGGCGTAGCTAACCTCAATGTGATACGCACATTACCATAATCGGATAAAATAATTCGAAGTGGTCTGTATTCTGTCGAAACTGCCTGCGACGCGCTGATGAGATCCAAAAAGATCAAAATCGCGATCCGCGTCTGGCAGTGAATATAGTGAATTAATGTGTTTTTTTTTGTATAAAAATCTCATACGACTTGATTTTCAAGGTTGTTATCTACATCTTTCTCATGTAGATAACATAGAAATACCTCCATGGTTATTAATAGGCTACAAAATACATAATTTTTTTTAATAGTTGCATATGGATTCCTGAACTCGACAGTTCAAAGGGGACAAAGGTAACGAGTATTGCATCTCTTTTAATTTTCGTTCTCGATGTTAAAAACGACTATTTCACCATCCAGAAAGAGAGAAAAAAAAGAGGAATTCCAGTATTTAATGTGCACACAATAGCACGCACATACATGCACGCGGCCTCTTCTCTCTCCTCTGGTCGCGTCGTTGCGCTTTTGTTAGAACATTTGCAGGTCAACATTTGACCATTAAACATTTATGTATATGCAAATTAGCGCGAATACGAAAAAATTATGCAACCACCTAATGCTACTACGACTACTAAATAGAACATGCACCTAAGTTACAATTACCTGCGGACGGTACAAACGCCAGAAAAATTAAAACCAGACAGAATCCTCTTAATAAGCCAGGCCAACTATTTGCATCCATTATCCAAACGTCGGTCGTCGTCGCGTCGATGGCTTTTGTTTAGTTAATTTTCAGTCTCAAAAACGGTAGACAGTTTCGGGCCAACCATAAACAAAAAGTCAGAGTGGGCAGCTAATATGTTAATTGGTACACCACCGTCAGGTACATTTATCCGTCCATTCCTTAATACAATACACAACACCCTGAGTCCATTTACCGTGTTTGTTTTGTTAAGGCGAAGCCGCCTTCCTCCTCTTTATCAGCGGGGAAATTTTTGGCCGTCGGTTGAGCTTTCTCGATGACAGGTGGGATTATCACTAACCGTGTAAAGAAAATTTAACAACATTGTATCACTTAACACCGTTTCTATTCTCGGTATAGAATAATATTTTGAATGTTGATATTTTTGTAGGTTTTATGCATACGTACAATACTAATTAATTATTGTCCTTAATTAATGAAGAATTGATTCTATAGAGTAGTGAAAATAAATTGATTCGTTTACATACATGTAAGTTATAGATATTATGTTTTTATGAAATAGTTAAACTGATACCCTATCTAACTACCATTACAACTGTTTACTGCTTTTATGATGGTTTTATAGAACTAGCAAATTTAACATCCCTATATTCCTGGTATTTAATTTTCGATTGTAAGGAACTTGTTCAGGATTTTTCCGATATTGTTAGCGGGTCCAAGAAAGACGTTTATTTATTCCAGGAATGTCGGTGAATGTGTAGTAAGGTTAGGTGTTAGGTGCAAATAAAAGGCTAAATGCTTGGTGAAACTTTTGAGAACTTTTTGAAAATGCCTATTTCCAAATTTATACTTGGCACTTTCACAATTCAACGTGCGAACCGAAAAATTATTATTGCACATCACAGAAATTAGTACTTTTATGTGTAAAAAGTGCGGTAGAATTCAACCAATATTTGTTTGTTATTCAAAATAATTATTTTGGTAATGCATTTCATTTCATAAATGCATTTAAATTATAAGTGCTTTCGAGTGTTCATTAGGTTTATAATCTAAATGTTTGCAGGTAACATAAAAAGTCAATTTGTGACAATTTTAATGCCACTTCCGGTTAACCCTTGATAAAACGACGCATATTTTTAATTCAAAAAAATGTCAACCTTTGCATGGATATCATTCTTTTCAGTATTCGTTGAAACAACACTAACAACCAATTTGTAATGAAATCCAGTTAGTAGAAAATTTAATTTCGTTTTTTCTTATACACGTAGTTCAAAGAGTCCAACTGATTTGACTGATGGAATTAAAGATATTATATTAATAAGTGGTAGGTATAGTGACAAATTATACTCAAAATTCTTTGAGTGATTATTGAAAGTGTATGTTTAGAGCGAGCGTTGTACGGGTGCGAAACGTGGAAGGTGGGCGCGGCGGAAAAGAAAAGGTTAGAAGCGTTAGAAATGTGGTGTTACAGGCGAATGATGAGGATACTGTGGATAGATAAGCTTAGAAATGAAGAGGTGTTAGAAAGAATAGGAGAACAGGGGACTCTGGAAGTCAATAAGAAATAGGAGAGATAGGTTGGTAGGGCATGAAAGTCTAGTCAGAGACATATTAAAAGCAGAAACAGGAGTTAGGAGCGGTAGAAGTAGACCTAGATTAGATTACTGTTCGCAAATGGTTGTGGGTTGTTCTAATTTTAGGGAAATACGAAGATTAGCTCAGGATAGAAAAGAGTGGATGTGCGTGTCCAATCAGTCTTAGGACTGACGGCGTTTTGAAGATGGGTGCATCCTGAAATACTGACAACAAATGATGAAAAGATTGACAAATTCAAATAACCAAGGCACTGCTCGGTGTTAAAGAGAGATACACTACAGAAGAGGGATTTAAAACTTATTAATTATATGCACTGATATAGTCAATTCTTTTAATTAGTAAAATATTATCAACTGTTAGTAAATAATTAATATTAACAAATTAATCATATTAATTAGTTTGATGCGTTCCGATTGCGTTTATATTTATACTGCAACACGAATGTTTGCCTGCATGTTTATAGGTAATACACGAACAAAACAAGTGCCTACGATAACGATTTTTAACTCAGCATAAGAAAGGAACATTGAAATTGCATTTACTTAATGGCTTGCACGCTTTGTACTTTTTTAAATAGTCGCTATTTGATAAAAATATCAAAGTCTCTAGTCTATTCCCTTGACGAGTCAAAAAATGAATAGAAATAATAAATTTATGTTAATGAATGAAGAAATATTTACGAAATCGTCTTAAAATTCACAACAATCTTTATCTACTATTGGAATATTCGATTTTTATTGATTTTTCCAATAAAATACACATCTACACTAAACAAGTAAAAGAAAATGAAATTGTGAGAAAAACTTTTTGATTTGTTAGTCTCATTCAATAAAGAATGACGCGATTAAACATGAAAATTAAGTATCTTATTTTTTATTCTCAATTTTTAAATTATATGGCTTCGAAAAAGCTGCTTATCAAGATAATTGATAAGTCAAAAACAAACTTTCATCATCATAAGGTCGTCAGTCCTAAGACTGGTTGGACACGCACCTCCACTCTTTCCTATCCTGAACAGTAATCTAATCTAGGTCTACCTCTACTCCTCCTAAATTTCTCTAATATGATTCTGACTAGATATTTATGCCTGAGAAGGTATCCTACCAACCTATCTTGCCTATTTCTTACTGACTGCCATAGAGTCTTCTGTTTTTCTATTCTTTATGATACCTTTTCATTTCTAACCTTCTCTATTCAAAGTATCCTCGTTATTCGCCTGTAACACCACATTTCTAACGCTTCTAACCTTTTCTTTTCCGCCACACTCACCGTCCATGTTTCGCACCCGTACAGCGCCGCGCTCCTCACATACACCTTTAACAACCTTTTTCGAATTCCTAATTAACCATTTGCGGGCATAAAAGTGACTTCTTTTTATTAAAGGCGACTCGACATGCAGATTTAAAAAAATAATTAGTGGAAAAAGTAGATCATCGTATTTTGTGGAATTTTAGGAACTTTTGATTTATTTTATAAAGCTTTTCTACATAATAACCGATAAATAGTTAAGAAATCATGTTCGACTTTGAAGTTTCTAAAAAAGAATTCAAGTGAGCAATACAAAACCAAAAACGAATAATATCTTTGGTTTGTTAAAAAGCTATTAAAATTATCTGAGCGCGAGAAAATGAATTTATATTTCATTTCTGTCCCTGACATTTGAAAACCGCACTTCGGATTTCGCTCATATCGCCTCAGGTAAGAAGGTAATATCAATTCAAACAAGTTTCGCCAGAAATCTGGGGCAAAGTTAACAGAGCCAGAGTGTCAGATTTTCTACATTAGTACCATCATATCCATTCAACGCATCGGTCCGATCCTTAGGGCACATCAACTAGTACACACCATTTATGTCTACATTGTTTAGTATCTGATAAAACGGGGAACACATCTTAATGGCAAAGTCTAGTGGCTGTAACGGTAATTTGATCCCCATTGAAGTTATTCAAATTAGTCGCTCTTCGTAAATGCAATAACAGACGCCGGGACCGGGCCTAACGCCCCTTCGCTATTCCGTATTTGCATATTTGTTAATCCGGCAGTATTAAGTTTATGCTTTCTATATTAATTTAGTGACTTCCGATTCTAGCATGCGGCGCGCCACGTCGTTGACGTCACGACGCTGTAGGCTATAAGAGCATCCATGTATGCCGAGACAAACATGTAACGCATAAGAGCAAGAATGGCGGAGATATATGGAAACGCAATTATTTGGACAAAGTTAAGCGGCAACCCTACAACAATCATTATACTTAATCGTTATGTGAAATGGTTATTCTAGTTTCAGGCTTGCACAAATTCAATTCTGATTTTATTCAACTGCTTTGTACAAATCCCCCGCGAAAAAGCCCCCGGAAAAGAATTAATCCCTTAATGTATTATAAGCTAAATGGTAAATTTTATTAGGAATGTAACGTGGTTTTGTTATCAGACAGTTTTTATATGTGCATGTTGGCAGAATACACGATTTAATGTACTACATGTAAATAAAAAATACTTATTTGTATAATTATTTCAGAAAAAGAAATGGTCTATTTCTTTGATTATTTAGTTTTATAATAATTTATATTTCATAGTCATAAAAATTTTCCCCTAACATAAAGTACAGAATGCTCGTAATACAATTTAACAGAAATAAGAATAGATCGAGTCGATAATTACCTACGTTATAATCTGTTGTTTTAAATTGTGATATTAGTAGAATACAAACTTTTGTTTGTGAAGTATTGATATTCTTCGAGATAATTAATAAATACTTCTTGGGAAGTCAACCCTTTACATAGTATTATCGTTATACATATTAGCAAAAATAAAACAAATCAAATAGGTTATATATATATATCATATGATAACGTTTAGAATAAATTTTTGATAATTTTTTTCCAAAGAGGCATTTATTTCGGGAGCTTTTTCCCAGGGAGCTTTTTTCCTAAATCCGTACACGGTACCAACAAAATTATTAAAGCTTGACAGTAATAAAAAATTATAATAATGATTTAACACGTTCCATAAATTTTTAAGATTTGGATTGATTCCAGACGTTTCGCCATTGTTTTCTAATAGGTCATTTTAATCACGATTATCAAGATTCAAGTACCTCCAGAGGATACCAATACCAAGAAACTACGAAACCTTCAAAAGTGAGTTTACTTTAACTAGATAAATACAGTTTAGTTTTGATACCCCACATTGATATTACTTGACTAATTGTTAGAAGTTGCTACAACTTATTAAAAATACATAAAACCTTTTTGCCTCGTCGACCAGTACCTACATTAAAGTGTCGCCAAATATTTCTTTTTTAATCCCTTTTTTCATTTATTTTTTAAGCCAATCCTGAAGTGCTAAAAACTAAATTAACTATTTAACAAACTCGCAAAATATTTGATCAGTTGGACTTATAGGCGTAAAATAAGTAAGAACGGTCAATTTTGATTACAAATATCTAGAACCTACTTAATAATGTAGAATTAGTTGCAGATATTTACTATTTTGTTCAATTTATATGTTAGAAAAGTGAATTTATGCATAAATAATTAGACAAAACCAGTTTCTTCAACGAATACTTTTAAAACTATAGACTGCTTTTCGGATTATCTATACTAGTTATATCATCATTGCCATCATAAGGTCGTCAGTCCTAAGACTGGTTGGACACACACGTCCACACTCTTTCCTATCCTGAGCTAATCTTCGCATTTCCCTAGAACTGGAATATCCCACATCCAGAACTATTTGT